AGCCATGTTTCATCCACATCAGCTCTCTTTCTCTTTCTTATATCTTACTAACACTATCTCCACGTTTACCTTCTCCTCAACATCTGTTCCATCCCCTGGCCCAAGGTTATAGAACACAGCCGAATCAGACAGATCTCAGTTCAAATCTCAGGTTGGACACTTGCTAGCCGTGCGACATATGCAATCACCTTATCTTTCAGAACCTCAGTTTTTCCAGCTTTAAAATGGGGATAATTAATAGCAGCTATCTCATTGCTGTGAGAGAAAGAGAACGTATGTCAAGTGCTTAGCCCAATGCCTGGCATACAGGAAGTCTTTAATAAATGGCGGCTGTCACTGTTATCATTGTTATGATCACTGAAGCCAGCCAAAGCTCCATTTGTGGAATTAAGGCTCAGAGGGCTGAAATCAGCTGTCCAAGGTCACACAAGTGAATCAGGGAGGATCCAAGATTTCCTGATTCTGGAGGCCTTTGCCAACCATCGGCTCCTGCAGAAACGATGCCCAATGACCTAGAAATCTGAGTATCTGATCACATCCAAGTACCACAGCTGATGATTTAACGAGTACTCACCATGTGCTAGAAACTGTGTAGGCTGTATGAAAGCTCTAAGGCACCCAATAAGTCAGTGTAAGAAAGTCATCCCCTTGTTCATCACAGACAAAAACAGTCATGAAACAAAAATCTGGAGCTGCTCCTTGTGTCACCCAGTGCTGACAATATTTCTCATCCACATTTGTTTTAAGAAGAAGCTGAAAGTAAGACCAGTGCCCTGGCTGCCTTATTCATGGCTTTCCAAAGGCTTCTTGGACTGGGAATGAGAAGGAGGGGGAACCTACAGACTACAATGGGATCTGGCCAAGGATGGCTATAAAAAAAAAAAAGTAGGGTTCGGCAGTAGGCTAAAAATAGGTCCCCACCATTGCTCCAAAAAAGTACAGTGATTATTGTCTATAAGGTGGGCTTCTGGCTGCACCAGGGCCTGCCCTTCCACCGACCATGCCAGCACTGAAACCATGGAGCCCAGGAAGCACATTTTATCTTGAAGCATGAATCACCCCTCAGAGGTCCAGAAAAGAATCCTCTCTTTGTGGCTCTTCAATCTCCTTCTTGGCTGGCATCCCTAGATCCTCAGGGCTGGTATCGAGGCCTTAACGAAAACTCAGGGTGAGTGACCTTTCTGATGGAAACGGACCATTCCAGAAACTCATGTGATGGGGTGCCTCTTAAAAACTGAAAGGAAACAGTGAATGAATGAACCAGCTAGAAAGCATTTATCATTCAAGCCCAACTGCGGAAGCGGTCAGAAATGGCTAATCCAGTGTATTCTGAACGTGGGGCTTCCGAAATAGAAAGGAATGGCAGAAAATGCTCTCAGATTATGCTCCCCCCCCACACACACCAATCTATTAGATCTCCCTACATGAGGTTGGGATTTGACAACGCTAGTCTTATTTTTTCTTTTAACTGTATGCTTCTAAAGGATGGAGCAGCAAGAAGGAGCAATGTGAGACCCAAGTCCTGTCTGTATACTGTTGGCCCTAATTTCAAGGATGCTGTCCCTTCTACAATACCAGTCACATTAGAGCCAAGAGCCCTGAAAGGATATCAAGCTCTCTGCTGGGGAGTCAGCAGAGTGAAGGATAATGGGCAGCTGGCTGTTCAGAAACAGAAACTGGCAATGACTTTCGTTACTCCTCACACTGCCAGACAGGACTGTGACCAACCCCAAAGACAGAAGCACCAACATCAGAGGAGGGTAGAAAGTTACCTTGCAGAACCATCCTTTCAAAGAGCAGAGGACCAATACGACTCTGTGACTTCAACCCCACTAAACTTATACATAGGAGAATTGATGTTAAAGTGAATATTGAGGACCCTCAGGAGGAGGAGAATGGGCGCCCGCACCTGCAGGATGGGTGTGAGCACAGGGAAGGGAGCAAGCCCTTCTTTTTTTTTTTTAATTTAATTTTTTTTTCAAGCCCTTCTTTTTATCTGGGAACAAGACCAGACATATTTAGCTTCCACTCTATCCAGGGATGTGAGTTGCAGCGGTGAAAGCCACTTCCTTTTCCTTAAATCACCACAGCATGGAGCATCCCACAGCGCAAAGCCTGAGGCACATATGCATCTGAAACCAAACACAGGGGTAGCTGAACTCCATGGGCGCATCTTCATTTTATTAGGGACTCTCTAGTATTTGAGTCTCAATCACTGTTAAATCTCAGGAAAGGAACACCTGCTGCATGCAGACATTCACACACGCTACATCCACTGTTGTAACTCTCACTGTGGCTCGGTTTACCTCAAGGGAAACCATAACCAAAAATGCTGCCTCCTAGCCTTTCCCCAGCAATCTGCTTACATTTTACTTTTCTTTTTCTTTCTTTTTTTTTTTTTTTACATTTTACTTTTCAAATAAAAAGCCTCTGATTTCTGCGAGGTGGTGGTAGAGCAAGCGGAAGACCTGGCCAGAAAGGCTGTATTTCTTCCTGACATCCCTTCTGACATTCCCTCCTTAGCCAGGTGTTGCCACAAAGGGAGCTGAGAGTTTGCCAAGTCAGAAATCATCCACACCTTAAAAGGAATGTTCCTGCAATAAAAGAAAAAAGGGAAGAGAGAGAGAGGAGAGAGAGAAAAGAAAAAGAAAACCCAAATCTTCTTGTCTATAAATTGGAGGTGAGGGGAAGAGGTAGGAGGAAAGGAAAGGGATACAAATTTGAAAATGACCAGGCTGTGAGGGGAGGGGGGGGGGTTAGATTTCCCTTCCCTCAAGGACAGCCAGATCTGATAGGGCCTCTGATAAGACCAAACGGCTTCGCTTTACTGCCTGTACCCAGGTCTCGTAACATCAGAGTCCCCAGCATCATCAGAGACCCTTCTCGGAGCTTGGAAGGGGACTGTCACTGATGTCCAGGCTGCAAACTGTCTACCGGGAAAAAACCCTACTTGGAAGGAGCTCTAAGATATCTGTAGAGCTGAGGCAGACAGAAAAACACTTGCAGCCTGTGTGCTGCAGCAAGTGCCTTCTGATTAAACACTACACTTTTAAAAACCAACACTGAGCTTTCCCTATCACAAAAGCTGTAATTTAGCCCTTTCCTGCAAAATGACACCTTTCCCTTTAGAAACAATATATAAATCTGATACAAGTGAAATACACATAGTATAAGTTTCCCTAACTCATTTAACATCCTTCAAGGACCCAAGGCTCTTAAATCACTTTACAAATGTAAAACTTCATGCCTCATTGCTTTAAGAGAGGGAGTTGGGGGAGTATCCTTTTCCCATCTTACTCTCAGTACATCTGAGGAACAGTCCATGGAAAAGCCCTTCTCTCACCACTGGGGGTGGAGAGCTCAGGCCTCCAGACCCTTACTCTCAGCTCTGGGTAAATAGCTTGGGATAAACCCAGTGTAGCTGCTGAGCAATCATCAACTCTACCCATTTAGAGGCAGAAAGGTACCCTACGAGTGAGCTGGTGGTGTTCTCTGGTCTAGCACCTGCACCTGACTTCAGCCACAAGTTCCAGGGTCACAGATCTAGGGCTCAGGGGACTTCATTTTCTCCTGTTACCCCTTACTGGTCCTGGAACCTCCCTTAACTCCGGTGCCTTTGAGTGGCCAAAGTGAACATTACATCAGCTTGTTATCTGGCCTCCAAGGACCTGTTGTCTCCCAGTTACCCATCTCTGATCCCCAAGTAAAAGCCTTGGGGTAGAAGGCCAAACCGCCTCCCAGCCCACTCCTTCATGTCTCCAGAGCAACATGGCCCGACCGCTCTATCAGCAGCCCATTCATAGGAGCAGGCAGGCGAGTCACCCAATAGTCCAGCTCCCCCCTACCTTCAGCGCCTTCTGTCTCCACAGGCAAGCAGATGAAGTTCTGCCTTGCAACCAGGGGAAAACCTAACTCTCAAAGGGCTGTCCTTTTTAAGAGGAAGGACGGCAATGGGAAGTCCTGCCACAGAATGGAAGCCAGAGGTCACATGCAAGCCAGCTTGGGGTTGGAGACACCAGCGACCTGCATCCTGGCCCATTTGTTCTCTATAAAGAAAAACAGTATACTACCCTCAGGGCAAGCCCTTCAGCCCTAACCTTTACCCTTCTTCCCGGTTACAGCAGAGATAGAAACCCAGGTGGTCTAAACCAGTCTAAAGGTCAGAGTAGCAGGTCATTTGTTACCAGGTGCTGAGAACACATGAGAATCTGTGAGCAGAGCCCCCAAGGTTACACTGGCAAAGCTCCCTGGGGTCCTGATCTCTTTCTCCAGAGACAATCTGAAGTGGCATCAGTACAACCTACTACTCGAAGCTCTGTACCTGAGGCAACCAAACATATCCACGAGGAAACCTTGGAGAAAGTCCCAGGAAGAAAGGAAAGGGGGTCAGCTTCTGACCAGGCATTGAAAGAGGGAAACGAAGACACTGGGAAAGAGGCCAATGTCTCCCTGCCCTTGCCATGAACAGGGCTATAATGGTGCCCATCTCAACCCTGCATCTCCCACCGAGGATGGCGAATCGGAGAGGGCAAATGGAGAGCTGGTGGCTGGTGGCCGGGGGGGCCTCCGCCGGGCCCCAGGCACTGAGCTGGAGAAGAGAGAACACACCCCAGATGTGCAGTCTACCATCACCCAGGTTTTCCATGCAAGGCGGCAGGGTCATCTTGGCATGGTTCCATCCCCTTCAGGAAAAGTCCTGGGCCTCAAACTCAGGGGGGTCGGTCTGTGTTTCTCACTCCCAGGTCCTGGCTCCCTAGCTCCCACTTAACCTGGCGCCCCCCTCCGCGCTCCCAAGGCGGCCTCAGAGGTGCTCTCCCCCCCGGAGGAAGGGGGATATCAACCTTCCGGATGGGAGATCCCCGCTGGCCCCTTCCCCCCCCCACCCCGCATCTCCCCGACACCCCTTTGTTTCAGGCGGGGAAAGTTGCCAATGTGCACCCCTTCCCCAACACGCCCCCTTGTGCGCCCATCCCCCGCAGGGAATCCAAGCCCGGGCGCACCTTCTAATCTGCGGCTCGCTCTCCAGCCGGGGCAGCCGCTTCGAAACCGAAAGCAAAGAGGAAGAGGGACCCAGCAGCACCCCCAGCCCGGCAGCCCGGCGGTCCCCATCACCGCACCATCCTCGGGCCCCGCCGCACTCGGCGCTGCCCGCCCCGCGCGGCCACCTCCGCGGGCGGCGAAAAGGCCTCTCCGCCGGCCTCGGGGCACCTACCGGTGCGCGGCCGAGGCTGCGGGCAAGGGCAGGGCAGGGCCGGCCGGCCGCCGGGTGCAGGTGCGGCCGGGAGCGCCGTCTCCCGGGCTCGCTGCCGCTCCTCCTCCCGCGCCAGGACTCGGGGCGCTCTCCTGCGCCGCCTGCTCCCCGCCCCCACGCCCGGAGCTCCGGCTCCCCCCGCGCCGAGTTGCCGGCCGTGCCTCCCCCCGCCGCCCGCGCCCGCGCGCCGCGCCTCGTCCCGCAGCCGGTGTGGGCGCCCGCCGCCGCGGCGCGGGGCCCGGGGGGCTGCAGCCGCCGCGGCCCGGGCCGAACCGAGCCCCGCGGCGGCGGCGGCGGCGGCGGCGGCGGCACTCACCCATAGTACGGATGCTGTGCGGACTGCACATGCTCGCGTCTGACAGGCGCGCGGCCTCCGGCCCGGCTTAACTCCTTGCTCGCCCGCTCGCCCGCTGGGTCCGTGCCCCGCCGACCCCGCCGCCTCCCGCCGCCGGCAGCCGGCCGCTCCCCCCGCGCCTGGGAGCGCGCGCCCTCCGCCCGGGCCGTGGCGCAGGTGGCTGCAGTGCAGAGCTGCTCGGCCCTCCCCGCCCCGGCCTGCCCGCCTGCATCTGAGGTGTCCGCAGGAGGCGGGCCGGGGCCCCTCGCCCCCCAGCTTGTAGGAGTCGTGGGCACAGGCGGCATCCTGCAGGCCTCACGCCTCCGAGGGCCACGGGCCTCGTGGTGCTGAGGACCCACCACATAGTGGTGGCACATACCAGCATTGTGGCCATTCACTGAGTCAGTCCCGCAAGGTCATTTTTATTGTCCCTGTTGTCAAGACGGAGAAACTGAGGCCTGTGGAAACTAAGGCAAGGCCTGAAGCTACAAGGTGCACAATTTGGTTTATACTGAAAAGATTAAACACAGGATGTTTTTTCTGAGGTTGGTCTAGATTCTTCTATTAGAAGGAAAATAATGGATGCCATCTAGAAAGCCTGGAGATTCTGGAATATGGATCTTGGGAAATGGGTGAGAGGACCCTCATCGATGTCAGGCCGGTCAGACAGGTCTAAGGTCCTGCAGAACCACTGAGCAGGGAGTGGAAATGTGATCCAACTCCTATCCCCACTCCAAGGCTCAGTTCTGGCACTGGGCATGGCAGCCAAGAAGAAAGCACTTTTTTGTTTATTTAATTTACAGGTAATGACCCCTAGAGTTGCCCTTTGGTAAACAGTCCATCCTGAGGGGGCAGGCATCCTTTTCTAATTCTCACACAGACCTTAGGTGTGCCTAGGCCTGATGTCTCCTAGCCCTCTAGCTGACTTTTCCCACATGCCACAGTAACAAAGAGTTCTCACAGGTCCAGGGCAGCACTGAGTCTTCAAAGAAAGGAAACCCAAAGATCCAGCTGGTCTTGCCCCAGTCTGGAGGAGAAGCTGGGCTGCTTTCCAACTATCTGAACCTAATCTGATCCTATGTCTTCTAATTGCTTGATGGGGCCATGAGTCCTCCATCAGCCTTCTGTCCCCAGCCAGGATATTCAAAGACCAACAAAGGTGTATCCAACTAGGGATGGGCAGTGTGGACAAGGAGTTCTAAAGCCATCCCATCTACACCTAGTTCTTTTTTTTTTTTAAGATTTATTTATTTATGATAGCCATAGAGAGAGAGAGATAGGCAGAGACACAGGAGGAGGGAGAAGCAGGCTCCATGCCAGGAGCCCGACGCGGGACTTGATCCCGGGACTCCAGGATCGCGCCCTGGGCCAAAGGCAGGTGCTAAACCCCTGAGCCACCCAGGGATCCCCCTACACCTAGTTCTTAGGCTGGCTGAGTTGTTCTTTCCAGAAGGAAAGCACTAGGGTTTGATGAAGGCAGAAGGAATTATGTTGGATTTCTCAAACCAGTGTAGGGATACACAGCTATGTGCTACCAGTGGCAAGAGCTCTTGGCTTTCCTGAGTTAGTATCTTCCTTCATAAATATACCTAACAACATAATGCATATACAGTCCTCATTATGGGGTGGGCCTCTGATAACAGAAAAGTGTTTTCTGGGGAGGCCTGGGGGGCTCAGTCAGTTAAGCATCTACCTTCAACTGAGGTCATGATCCCGGGGTCCTGGGATCGAGCCCCAAGTCAGGCTCTCTGCTCAGCGGGGAGTCTGCTTCTCCCTCTCCCTCTATGCTCTCTTCCTCTCCCTCTCTCTCTCTCTCTCAAATAAATACATAAAATATTTTTTAAAAAAGGAGTGGGGGAGTGTTTTCTGCTGAAGATAAGGCAGGGAGTGAGGAGAAGGGATCAGGGATCCAGTGAGGCTGGCAGGCTGTCCCAGGAACACTATCAGAGAGGCAGGAGACAGTCCCTTGTTGGGAACACCTTGGCAAGAAGTGCCTTCCATGGCACCAAAGCCCAGCTGAAGAGAGACCTCCTTTGTGCCCTCTTTTCTCTTACCCTCCGTGCCCTCTTGTCTCCTAGGCCCAGAGCTCCCACTCTGCTTCTCTATCTGTGCCCAGTACAGGCTCTGGGAGGCAGCATTGCACAGAAGAAAGCAAAACGGGCTATTAAGGCAGAAGATCTGAATTCTGGGTGATTTCTCCAAATGGACAATATGTGCAGTGCCCACTGCCCATGATATTTTAGGGCCCCAAAAATGTTTAACTTTCTTTTAAAATCAGGGACAAAAAATAAACTTTGAGATCAAAGAAAATGCTTTCATATATAATACTAATATTTTCATCTTTAGTATAGAAACCAAGGTGCCAGTAATAGAATCAAGAAGGAAAGGTAAGGAACCAAGGTGCAAGGCTTGGCATCTGCCAGTCTCTCCTTTTTCCAGCTCTCCCACGGACTTCACTGCTTGATCTGGGTTTTCCTTATTCCTAAATTAAGAATCACTGCTCCCTAACAAAAACTCATACGATGGCTTACAAGTAACGTATCTTTTTCTCTTTGGGTAAGGCAGCTATTTTAACCCTCGTTATGTAAATGAGGAAATCAAGGCTCAGAGAGATTGCATGGTTTGATCAAGGTTATACTGCTAGTAAAGGCAGAATGCAGGTCAAATTCAGATCTTCTGACCCTCCATCCAAGGTCTTTTCTGTCTGCCTGCACCTAGAAAATTTCAAATAATATTAGATATGATATGTACAGGGCAGAGCAGTCAACTCCAGAAGCAGACCTAAAAATAGCATCTGTGGCAGTGGTGGGTCCCTGACTTTTTACCCTAAGAATGCTGAGGCAAAGGTACAGTGTTGTCGGAATGGGTGGAGAGGGTGACCCCGAGGGAAGGTAGGCACCGTAATAGTAATTGCTACTGATTCAAGTACAGATTCAAGGTGGAGGGCATGGGACAAAGCAAGCCCTGCTACGCTAACACCCACCAGAGGATGCCAACCCCTCCTTTGCCTTCCTGTCTTATCAAAGCAACCTGGATTTGAGTCCAGAGTCTACATCCTAGCCAGATGTCTTAAGGCTATTTATTTAACTTTTCTGAGGCTATTATCCTTATCTACAAATAGAATGGCAATAATCCCCCATCCCATGGCTATCATAAGCATAAATGAGATAATTTTAGATAGCTAGCATTTTGTCAGACACATATATGTAGTTAAAAGTCCCTGCCATAGTAGGCAGTTAATGGTAATTCTCGCCACATCTCTCTTCTACCATCAGGTTGGGAAAAAGAGAGTTGTTCAAGTGTCTTTGTATTCCCTAAAGTGCCTCAAATAAGTTAGGTTCTCAGTCATATTTTCTGAAAGACAAGAACTTTTCTGCCTTTTTACTAAGCAAACCATCCATAAAGGGATTGCTCTTGTCTGCCATAAGTCATTTTCCTGATGACTTTCAAGAGAAACAGAAAGACTTCTGTATGCTTGTTAGAGAGGATCAGTTCCCTGGGGGTTGCCCTCTGACCACAAGTCAGGAGAGATGTGGCTCAAGAGGGTGATTTCAGTGGGGGGACTGGGCCCACAGCCAGATCAGGAAGGACCTGGGAAACAGCACAAGCATAGAAATTGGAGACCAGGAGAGACCTGTCTCTTGTATTGTACGTGTATTTGCACAGTCTGTCCCAGACGCTGGGACAAGAAAGCAATAAGTGAGGTGGGAGCAGAGGAAGCATTGAAGCCAAAGGTAATCCCAAATTTGGAATTAGGTGGACCAGCTTTACCGGAAAACCAGCTAGGAGAGAGACAACTGGAGAAACCTCGGGCTACGGACCCTCTCTAGCAAGCATACAGAAGTCTTTCTGTTTCTCTTGTAAGCCATCAAGAAAATTGCTCGTGGCGGACAAGAGCAACCCCTTTATGGATGGTTCACTTAGTAGAAGGGCAGAAAAACTCTTGCCTTTCAGAAAACATGGGCATAGTCTTGGCAGTTTGAGAGGAGGTCAGGGCAATCATCCAGAGTTTGAAAATGGGGGAGTCTCTTTGTAACAGTCCCTTCTGGAAATAGGAAGGAAAGGGTCATAAAGAGACTAGAGTGTGAACCTGCATCATTTAGGATTCTTTGGCTGCAAGTAACAGAAACTGACTTTAGCTATCTTATATCTAAAAGGAATTTCTTGGAAGGGTATGATCAGATGACTGACAGATTTGAAGGGAATGCTGGCAAAACAGAGGCTAGAACCAGAACCACTTTGGGAGCCAGGGTAATGGGCAGTGTTTGAGAGCCTTGTCAGGGCTCTGCTGCTGAACAACTAGACTTCAATCTTTTTATCATTTCTGTTTGTGTTAGAATCAAACTCACGTATGTTCAGTCATGCATCCACCTTTTGGACAAGGGAGGATCAGCAGGATACTCTGACATGGGCTCTACTGGCACCCCACATCATGATTGAGAGGCAAGCATTGAAAGAGACATCAAAGAGCTGTTTTCCAAAGGAGGACAGAGGCAGCCATGCAACCCCTTACAGCAAATACCCATGCCACAGGGAAAGCAGGCAGTGCAGGGAGTTCACACCTGACTCAGTGCCCCTGTTGAGTTCTTAGCTACAAAGGTGAAGGGAGAAACACATAAGCCTCAAGAAAGTAGCAGGAAGCTCTGAAACGTACCAGGGCAGGAAGACATAAGTTTGCTGAATAAAATCCCTGCTTGTGCTGGGGTTGGTATAGAGGTGGAAAAAGGCAGA